AGAAACAAATCAATCCAACTCCCAACGAATGCAATACAATGGAAAACAACAACAGTTGGGTCATGTAGGTTCTGACAATACCAATCTACCACTGCTTTCTTAAGAAAAGGGGGAATGAAAGAAGGAAGCAATTAACAGCAGCCCTGAAGTTCTGGACAGGAAGAAAAAGAAACAAAAATGGACGTCCAAAGCTGAGCCAGAAGGCTGAAGAAGTTAAAATGAATAGAAAACTAAATGCGTGTGTTTCCAGAGGAGATTTAACAATTTCTTTTAAATCTCTGTCCTGCCTTCCTCAAATAAATCCAGAGCAGTACCTAAGATTCTCTTTGCTTTGTACTTGTGACAACCCTGGATGTGAAGAAAAGGACTCTAAGACAAGGAGGATGTGCTTGAATTTCTTCCACTATGGCACACTGTCTTTATCAACACCATCCATGCTGGCTGGGGAATTCTGGGAGTTGAAGCCCACATATCTTAAAGTTCCCAAGGTTGAGAAACACTGCCTATGCTGTCTTCTAAGGCAAATAATTTCCTAGATCAGCTCTTGCTAACCTAGTATCTTTCTGACATATGCGGGCCCCACCCGTGAGGTGCCTTTCAGCTTCAATTATCCATCTAGAAATTGAAATACATTCACCTTTCTTTAAAAAAAAAAACCCAAAGTCACAAAAAATAGCAAAAATATGGCTAGATTCACCCCAATGGACCACAGTCTATTAACAAAGCCATGATGGTAGGATCACATGTAATGCGCCAAACCATGGCTCATCTATTATGCTAAACAAAAATAAATGAAAACTTAATCTAGCTTAATGTAACCTGAAATGTCAAGGGGTGAACTGTGCCATTAAAATATTAAATCAGCAACTGAGAGTTCTGGGCATAATCTACCTTATTTCTCAGAAACAGATTAATTACTTCCATGTCTCTGTTCTGCAATTCTGTCCTGGTATGACACAGTTTGCTACCTGAGATAAAAGTAAGGTGGAAAAGTAGCTGGATAAGTTAATTTCTAGGGCAATGAGCTCAGATAAACTCCAGCCCATGAAGAAAGAGAGCATCTGACGCCACAAACCTAACACAGTTAATTCCTCAAATTTCGTTTTCGTCTACAGACACGATTTATTCCAAAATGAGAAATCGGCTTATTGATCAGTTTTTAATTACACTTGTCATGTAACAGATTTATTCAATTTGTCCTGGAGGACAAGTGACTCCCCCCGCCCGCTTTAAAACTCAAACAACTCGAGCGATCCTCCAAATTCTTTTCCTGGGGAGCAAGGATCAGAGATCACTCTTCCAAGCCTCTCACCAAAAGGACTGGGATCTTCCCCATCATCTGAGATTTTTTAAAAAAGACTTTAGGCTCCCTTGGATCCTGGAGAGTTAATTGCTTTGAGGCTTAACAAACATAAATAAAGCCTCTACATCAGTGTTCCTCAACCCTGGCAACTTGAAGTTATATAGACCCCAATGCCCAGAATTCCCCAGCCAGCAGAACTCCCGACAGACAGATATTCCCTGGATTCAAACCCAAACCAGAGCTTAACCAATTCTTTATTTAATTAAATTTATTTACTTATTAAATAGGATATTTAATAATTAAATAAAATTAAATTACCAATTCTTTACTACATATCCTATTTAATAAGAGGCCTACGTTTGCTCTGAGATAACACGCAGGCCGATGGCGAGCTTACACATCACGCTCAGCCAGAAGGCGGTGTGTCTGGCATTGCCTTCAAGTGATGTGTGGACCTAACCTCTGGGACTGAGTAAACCTTAGCTAGACTATCCAATGGTTGGGTGCAACTGGCTTTGCCTTTATGGAACTCATTCTCTAAAGCAGAAAATTCCCCTACGAGAGGACTTATGACATGCACTCAGAAAGCCCCGAAAAGGTGGCCTGTCTATTCCGCCATATGAACAGACCAGACTGGGGGGGGGGGGGGGGGGGG